AACCATATGTAATATGGTGGGTAGTTGCCAAAAAAGAAAAGCCGGTAAGGGTATAGAGAACGAATGGAGGATGGGTGGAAGAAAATTATTTTAGCTAGGATGTCCATGGAAGATAATCAGGTGGAAACTTGAATGAAATGATGCAAAAGATATTTCAGGAATACCAGTTCCAAGCAGAAAGGATAGAAAGTTCAAAGTCTTTGAAGCCTTAATATTTTATCTATTATCAGATATTGAAAATGAACACAAATTAAAGATAATACTTTGAAGGAACCTAAGTAACTCCGCACTTACTCTCATATTTGAATCTTAAAGATAACTTGAATATTTTATGGCATAACCATTTTTATTCAGATCATTTTGAAGATAAAATTTATAGTTAAAAATAGAAATGTCAAGTATATTTTCATTTATGTAAAGATTAGCAGTTGGACCAAATGGTAACACCTAAACTGAGCTATCAACTGAGTGCCATTTACAATCATCACCTTTCTATTTCTTGTCTCACACAGATCCCATATGTTCTCCTGTTATATATTTAATTTTATGGATTTTACGCCTGTTCTACAAGGTGTATGTTATTTTTAAAATGGTATAAGGTAATATGTCCTTTTTATGTGGGCTTGGCAGGAAACAAGTCATCTGATTCAATTTTCTATCTCTAGGTATGCACTTTCAAACCAATGCAAAGTAAGATGCAGTGTGTTCTATCTTAAAGATTCTCCATACATGCAGTAACAGATTTCCCAAAAAGCCAAGGGACCTAAGATAGATGGACTTTTGACAGAGAGATTGTAATACTTCCTGGTTACCTCATCTTTTGCTCCTAAAATACAAGGTAAGGCTGAATCCACTTGGGTTGGGAACAATACAATAGCATTTACTCCTAAATTGAATGCCAACCATGGACTAGGGCATGGTCTGAAAGTATCTGATAGGTTTTAGTGTCTGGAACGAGCTCTTGTCCTTGCTGAGATGACTATAATCAAATGGCATAACCTTCCTTCTACTTACAAGGATTTTTATTTCAGATGGCAAAAACACTGGGATTAATCAACTGACACATTTGACATATGAAAAAGCTTTGTAATAATCATGTAAAATAGAAGATTTCTTCTGCTTGAAACAAAACGTGGTTTATGTTCACAGTCTAGAGTTCTTATTCTCTAACCTACATCTCACAAAATATTTCTCATTTTCCTTTCCTTTTCCTAAAATGTTCTTGCATTTTTTTCCTTTTTTTAAATGTTAGTTCATTTCCCCCTTTAACACTTTCCTCTTCTAACCCTGTCTCACCTTTATACATTCATAGACAAAAGAAAAGATACTTCTTTGGATACTGTAATGATTGAATTTTTCAAGGTCAGAAGAAAATGTAGAGTGCAAACCTGATGAAATACATATTTTCAAGGCCAACTAGAATTGTAGGTATCATTATTTTAATTTTAACTTTATTTTTATTTTATACTGGTGCAAACAAGGAAAACAAATGAAATCATGAATAAATGCCAATTGTTTTAAGTCTTCTCTTTAACCATGTGTCCTTAAATGTTCCAATTGGTGGAAAAAATTTCAGTCCCTTAAATAGCATATTTTATTAAATAGTATTACTCTCAAGAAAATAGTCATTATATTTCCCCCAAAGTCTTTCTTAAAAATTTTAATTGCAAAGAAAAATCTTGCATTCAAGGAACTCTGAATTATTAGAATTGGAAAAATGATAGGAATCCATGCTTTTAGCTTTTATTTCAAGATGAAGAAAGCTTCTGTGAAAGATAATATTTACATTTATAATAAGTAACTTTAAAGTGTTATTAAACCAACATATCAACACATACAAATCAATAATATCAAACCCTTTACCAGCACTGCATATAAATTCATTATTCTAGATCTAACACCTTCAGAACGGAAGTATTCCCTCCTGATTCCATGGTGGAGGATTTATTAAGAACAAAAACAACTTCATTATTGAGTGACTTCTAGGTCCCAAGAATTATTCCAACGCTTTCAATCACTTAATAGCCACAATGAAACTATGAGGAAGTTCTCTTAATTTCCTGTGTTATTGATATTAGAATTGAGAATCAAAGATTAAATAACTTTTCCAGGATCATGTAACTCTCCACAATTCAGTGTTAAGGTCAGTGTTAGTGTTAATTAAGTTCTTAATTAACCCTAATGCTGAGAACCTACAACATACTATTCCCTATTAATCAGAACATTAATATACAAACAAAATCTTTAAGGAGTAGTTTATAGATTTATACTTTGCATATGTATGTTCTTTGAGCAGTCTGAATAGAGGAATAGATTTTTTTCAATGATATTTAAAGACTAGTGAGCTAGTTTATGAGTTTCAACATATTACTCTAAGTAGTTTTTAATAGATGATTATCTTGAAGGAATTTTCAACATTAAAATGAAACTAAATAAAGATATCTCCTTATCTAGTTACCTTCCATTACATGGTATTTATATTTTCTATTAATACCTACATAAATAAACTAGAAGTGACATAGAAGTTATGTAATTACTGAGAAACATGAGGAAGAAATGATTGATTCCTGATATTTATAGAGAAATATTTAAAAATCCATTGTAAGGCTAAAGAGATTTAATGTTATCATGTGTCTGTCTTCAATTATTAAACTGATTTAAAGCAATGTAATTTTCAATTTATGCATATTGCATGACTAATTTTGGCATTCACATATAGGAACATTTATTTCAGCCCATGGTCCTTTAGTTTAGGATAATTTATTTATTATTATTTTATAAGAATATGAAGTAAACATATATTGTGGCTCAAAAGGAGGAACATTATCTGTTTTGTCTTTTATATAAGAATATAAAAGTATGTAAAGGGGAAGATTTGTTGGTTCCACTAACCCTAGCTCTATGCTTAGTATAAAACAGGAGGAATATCAAGTCTGCATTATTTATTCTCCCTCGCTTGTTGACTGTCAAAAATGTATTTTAATAGGGTAAGAAATTCCACACTATAAATATGACATAGAAATTGAGTAAGGAAACAATTAGTTTAAAAGACAAAACTTGAAAAGAAGCATTCCTCTATCACTTAGGTTTTCTGCCTACTCCACCATTTACTGTGCTATGTCACTTTAAAAAGAACTGTTTTACCTCTCTAACACTCAAATTATTTATCTGTACATTCTTAAGAGTAACTTCTCCATAGGTTTGTTGTGAGGATTAAATTAAATATATGTTTAAACTACCGAGCATGGAACTTGGCAAAAAAGAAAGCATTAATTAAAAGGCAATCATATCTATACTGTGGCATTTAGCTGAAAGATGATAAAGCTTAAGACTCAATTACAGCTTTCCAATGTTTTGAATTATTTTTGTAGGTGGGTCTCAATGAATAAGAGAATAAAAGAATAATTCACATTTCATTTCTTGTCTTGGCAGAACTAAAATATTTGTTGTAAGAAACATGCCCTGTGGAATATGCTAGGTGTATCTGTTTAGGGGAGTGGCGATATAAAGTTCCCAGAGCGATCAAGTGACCATCCTCCTCCCTTTTTATTTACAGTTATCTTAGTTTATGCCATTTCCCCAGCACAATTATTAAAATTGTTCTATTTGAATGGTAAAAGATATTCTACCTAGAGCAGATACATCCTATGTAAATTACTGTTCTATGAGCACATCAACAGATTTTATCCTTACTCCTTCCCTAGTAGAAATGTATATACATTACATATTGTTTCACAATTTAAAAATCTATTTTAATGAACTATAATTTAGCATTATGCTAAATATGCATTAAAATATGGTAAAATCTTTTTAAAAGTTAAAAACAAAAATAATTGATACATGTAATTTATTTCAGGAATGGCAAGATGTATTATTAAAAATAAATTTTATATATTTGTAAGTGTATACATTATGTGTGTGCGTATACGCACTCATGTTTTCTCTATCAAAAAGTGGAGAATTGAGATTACTTAAATAAAAACAAAATTATGCTTATTTTTTATTTAAAAATTATTCTTATTTTCCAAATCACTTCTAATGAGAGAGAACTCAACTCAAGAGAACTACTAAAACCCTGAGATTGTTTTGTCACTCCTCTTTTAATTTAATACTATTAAAAACTTAAAAAAATTAAAAACAATTAGTTAAAAGTATTAAAAAAAACAATAGTTTCAGATACACTCTTGGGATAGAGAAGAAAGCAACCCCTCAACCTTCTACATTTTCCACACTGATGGGACTCTACAAGAACCAAAAGTCATTGTAATGATCCTGAAATACTAAAAGATTCTAAACTATTTTTTTATTGTTTAGAAAATAATTTAATCTGTTCATGTAACTTAACAGCATTAAAGGTCAATAACTTTAGAAAGTGTATATTGTGTTTACCAATTTAAATTAGAAATAGTATTGCAGAAATAAGGTTTGAAACAATGAGATTTCTGGCTACCTATATAAGTATTCCACTTAAAGTGCAAATTTTCTTATTTTATATTTTTAACACATATATATACTAAACGAGAAAAGAAAAAACAGATTTATTCCCTAATGCACATTCTCTAATCCTTTTAATACCAAAGTACAATATGTCCAAAAAAAATCAGCTTCTGTAACCCTTAAAAGACACAGAAATTCTTTACATATTGGCAGATAAAGTTTTGCATACATTTTTAAAAATGGTAATATGTATTTTTAATAATCCCATGCGATTAACACTCGAATTCTGTGTTGTTAGCAATATGTATATTTTCGTTCACATAAACTTAATAAAGGAGGAAACTATCCAGTCAATTCAACACAAGGTATTTTTCATTGATTACACCAAACCTCAAATGCATCAAATATCTAACCTAATTTGCATTTTTAGGTACTTCGTATCTAAAATTTAAGAATCAATGCATAACTATTAGATCAGAGGTAGAAATACTGAAGATGCAAGATAAATAATTCCAATACAAAATATGTGCAATTACAAAGCGTACAACTTTACATATACTCACCAATACAGGTAGGTAAGGAATCATTCCACTGGGCCAAGGAATTGGGCACCGTGTCACACCTAACTGCTATGGATCCATGGAGGATATATCCCGGATTACACTCAAAAAGAACTAATGAACCAACTGCGAATTCATTGCCAATCCTTCTTCCAAATCTTGGTTCAGGCACAGAACTGCACTGGGTAGAACTTGTTCTAGGAACAGCTGTGTACAAATAATTGTTGATTTTAATTTCATATTTGGTAGAGAAATGTGGATTGCAAAATGTAACTATTTGAGCAGATTTCAAACAACTTCACTTTTTATAAGCATTTGAAGAAACAATATAAATACACATAAAAACTGAAAGTTCATACAGTATAAAATACAATTTAAAATGAATACTGCTATTGTCATCAAGATTTTTGATTTAAAGAACATTTTTACTTTTGATCCTTTAATAACATCAACTCAGGTTTTTTTTTCTATATTTTGTTTACCAAACTCATTAATATAATAATGTAGTTTGAGTCAAATATCAATTTCTGGGATGATAATTGAAGGATTTTATTTTTCTTTTCAAAATAGGATACCAACTTCAAAGATGTAGGTGTCAAGTTACATAAGGTAATGTCACAATTTTTTTCTTCAGTAGTTGGTTCTTAAAACCCTAGATTTACAAAAGTAAACATAGTACTTTACTAATTTCATAGCATGTTCACAAATGTAGTTGTTGAAAATATGTTTGTTATTGATGAAGACAATGACTAGATTTAGGCTAAGTAGAAGTCAGACAGATTAACAACAATAGAAGTTTTTATTTTAATAATCATACAATATCAAATTTGATATTGCTTTTAGGCTTGGTGTGTCCTTCAATTGTGACTTTCTTTTTTTTGGTTTAGTAAAATAGAATGATAACAGGATGTTTTTTCTTTTTAAAACACATACAGATGGGATTGAAGAATTTGACAACGGCCCAAACAATGATATAATGAATTCCAAAGAGATTGACTCCTCTTGTATGACTTGAGTAACAATAACTCAATTGGTAATAGTGCCTTTTTAAATTCATAATACCACATATTATTTACAGAGGGAATGTTATTAAAAATGAAACACTGTAATACTATAGCCAGTATTATAAATGGGATAGCAGGGTTCAATAATATCAAAATATCAAATCACAAATGTTCATAAATTTCTAAGGAATGAAGTTCAAGATACATTTGAGAGTACTACATAATCATACATAATTAAAACAAAGTTTCCAAATGATAACTTTTAATATAGTTTAATGATAATTTGGAAAATTGTCTATAAAAGGTGAGAAAAAACTGTGTAAACCAACTTCCAATTGGACAAAAATATTTAATAGCCATGAAGAAAGTATGAATTCTGAGAGTAACAGAAACTAACATTTTAAAATAGAGTAATGACTTCCTTGACATGTACAAGTATACCAGCACAAAATTTTGTCCATTTTTTCTTTAGAGTGCTAGACTATGAGGAAAAGAGAGTATGTACAGGGTGAAGAATTATCATAAAAACAATAGATGTTTTGAAAGTATGTTGGAAGGAAGCAAAAAAATAAATACAATTAACTTGAGAATGATGATGGAAGCAAAAGACCTTTTATGACTTTGGTCAAAGTAAAAGTGCTCTAGTGATGGGGAGGGGAGAGGGTAAAACTGTTAATAAAATACAACTTTCATCTTTTCCAGATAGTTATGAAGATCTCATCGTTCAATAACTCTGAATACAGCATGGCAACTGATATCATTCCTTAGTGTGTTTCTAGGCTACAGGGCCACTTACCTTGGTAGACAAAGTGAAATCCCTTAGCTGTTATTGGTCCAACTGAAGTAAATCGAATTGTGATCTGATTACCTGAACTCAGTGGAAGTGATTCTCCTACTCAACAAAACAAACACTAAGATATCATAAATAGTTTCATTCAGAAAACCTAACATATCATATTAATTTACACTGTCATTTGTAAAAAGTCAATCTATGTTCTATCAAATTACTTTAATATATTCTACCACTGACAATATATTTTCTTTGGATTCAGTTTCAATTGTGACCTTTTAACCAGAGGCTTTAGGCATAATTTGATACATATTGCCTTATTCTTTAAAGAATTCTTAAATATTTTGTATTACATTAAATATGACAGACTAAGTGACTAAATATTATATTTACTTAATTACAGTCTTAGAAAATAGTTGGCTATATTTTTCTAAAGCGTTTGGTTTACTGTTGTGTTTCTATTCTTTCTTTTTTAATAAAGAGTAATTCTCTTTTACAGTTTACCTTATTTCTAATATGGATGACATAAATCTCAACTTTCACTACAATACCAATCAATCTCAGGCTTGAATTGATAACTGACGCATGGTAGTTCTAGTAAAGGATACCTGAATGGGATCCTGAGAGGGAAGATAACAGAGAAGATTGCTGAGTTGGCCCATCATACACCTCAACAACATCGTGGAGTGATGTCTGGAAAAATACAAACTGGCCAAACACCACTGATCAACAGGAACCAGGAGAAGCAAACAAATCACCAACCATCCAAAAACAAAAACAAAAAACAAAACAAAACAAAAAATAGAAAGAGGAGGAGAGAGAGAACAAAGTATTACAATAAAATAGTCATTTCTTCTTTTTTTTTTTAACCTATAAATGAGGATAGGTGCCAATTGGTTCATAGGCCTGATACATGTGTTCTTCAGGTCATAAAATTAATTGCAATGGTATAAAAGCAATAAAATTAAAGAAGACTACTTAAAAATAAATTAAATGGATATAACATATCAGTTTGATCAGAAATCATAAGGTTGGTGATTAATACTTTAGAATCAGGTTTTGATTCTCCCATTGGTAGTCTGATTCTTTTCACTTTGTGACTCTCTTCTCTTTTTCTAATTTTTTTCTCCTCTTTTATATGAGATAGACAAAGTTTTAACTCGGGATATTTTTGGGGGGGTTGGTTTTCAAATGCTATTCCATTATGAATAATAGTCTCAATGGAAAAATATCAGCAAGACACTTTTTAGGAACAGTGTTTGGTTCACATTCCAATTTAAAATTATTCTGAACATTTGTTAATATTCTGCCAAAAAATGAATATTATTTATGATTCTTTAACAATTGAGATATTTTAAAATTTTACAAAACGACTGCTTTTTAATAGTAAGTACAAACCTGAAGTACTTACCAAGAGCTTTATTAATGACTCTTTTAACTTTATTTTGTACTTTCTTTTTAGTTATATACTAAATTTGTGTGCAGAAACTACCCAAACAGTGACATAAAAGAAAGAACCTGTTTAAGACCAGAAATCAGCTTGTGTTTTGTGTTATAAGAAAGGAAATGGACAATAAAAATGATCCTTACAGCATTTCATTGAAGAGAAAAATTTGGGGGTTTAAAAGTGTATGATTTTTTAAAAGTTTAATAATTTAAAAGCACGGTAACTTATAAATTCAAAATCACATTACTGTAAATGATACATTGCACAAATATATTTATTTTTCAAACTTCTTCATATTTTACACCTTGAATTAAGGTTATGGCCATCTTTCGGTGGTCCTGTGAAGACAGGCTAGTTCATTTGAAACATGCTGACTTTTGCACGTGAACACATACACATAATACTACTGTAAACAAAGCTACAGTTGTTTTTTTCGGCCTGTTAAAATAAGCTGGTGATCTCAGTCCAGTTCTTTGTGGGGTAAAGGAAAAAAGGAAAATAAACACAGATATAGGCTGTTGTTTTGAATAATTCCTGAACATCGAAGTGCTATATTTCATAAATAATCCTCCTTAAAACATGGCCTAGAATAATGAAAACAAATGTATGTTTCTATTAAGTCAGACTCATAGAGTCAACTATTTTAATGATTTATAAGCCAGATGAAAATTTTCAGATCAGAGCTTTAAAAAAGATCTATATATTTATCAACCAAATGCCCAACTATTTCAAAAATACTCCAAAACTATTGAGAAAATTTTTCTTTTCTGTTTTTGAATTTCTTTAGATTGGTGTTTGGATGATCTGTTTTTAAATGTGTCTAAAAGATTCTATTATAATGAAGATGATGCCACTGCCTGTCCAAGAGCACTCCCCTTCCCTCAAAATCATGTTCGTTTAATCACCAGACAAAGCTCTTGACAGTTAACTTGTTCTTTCTCTATATCTTTTTGGGAAGTCATTAATAAAAATGTTTAAATTCAGTATCTATTAATTCTTTCTGCCTAAATATCTTAAACACTCCATTAGGAAACATGCCCAATATCAGGCAAACCACTATATTATAAACAACATCTAAAAAAAACCCTAAAATACAGTAATCCAAGACCTGTTTCTAATGAAAGAAAAGAAATGCCCTTTTAAAATTGTTTTTAGCCCTAGTTCACAATTGTTACTTCTGTACACATAGACGAGAGTTTTCTGTCACTTGTAAATTGGCAATGTTGAGACTATAATGATATGCCCCTTAATACATTATATTTGCATCATGTTATGTAGAGAAAACTGTAGGGTATACCCTTTTGAGTATTCTTGGGAACATGCCTGTAATTTGTTGTAGTAATTCTGAGGTGAGGGTGGGGAGAATTGGAAAGGGTAGGGGGTCAGGGGATAGAATGCTAAATCTGTATTATTCAGTAACCAGTAAACTGTTCCTCTTTAACTGCAACCTAATTCTGCATTAATATGGCCAGTGGAAATTTTAGAATAAAAATAGCCATTATTAGAAAAAAGTACCCTGAGAAGATCCTGAGATGTATCAAAGATAAAATTTTAAAGTACATGTTTAATAAGTTGTTTGTAGCATGAAGAATCAAGAACATTTGCACAGATTTCCTACAATTATAAGTTGAGTATTGCCTCACTAAACTTTGAATTAATCTGGAATCAAACCCTTCTCAGCTAGAAATCTCAAAAATTAAGTTGTAGCCCTTGTGTTTGCTTACCCATTTTCTGTTTGTAAATGTTTTATTTAGTTTTCTTACTTTCAGAAAGCAGTGGTCTTCTGCTTTTAAAGTGTTCTGAGTGTCCAAATGCATCCTTTGTATGGCTGAGACTGAGGTAGGAAAAAATTCTGATACTTTATGGTAGATCAAAAGATAACTGGATATTGTTTTTTGGTAAGCAAGACATCTGACTTGCTTACCAGCACACCTTTCTGAGTCACTTGTGTTTATTAGGGCTGTGGTATACACACTGGATTATTATCCTATCTATCTATATCTATCTATCTATCTATCTATCTATCTATCTATCTATCTATCTATCTATCATCTATCATCTTCTATCATCTGTATTTGGTTATTTGAATTCTCTTTTGAACTACTGTAATATATTTTATTTGGTTCTTCATTAATTCATGAGTTGAATAAAATTTATGATACATGTTTATTTTATATTATTATGGGAGTCATGATTATGCCCTCTTTAAAAACCAAAAAAACAATAAAACAAAAAATCCTTTTAACACTGACTTGGATGCTGATACCTCAACATAGTGCATGGACCACCTTTTTATTTCTGTGATTACAATTACCCACCAAAATCTGGGCTAATCAGGAGTAATTAGCAAGGCCTCTATTTTCTTTTGCATAGTTTCCAACAGAGATAAGGAATTCTCTGCATCTCAGCTCCAAACTCCTTTCCCTTTCTTCTGGAGATTTGCAAGTAGATATCAAAGAACTTTGCTCTCAGTCTGTTATTGTAGACTAAAAACACTAAGCTGTTTCTTAAGAGAAATACCACTGTAAGTGAATTTTTTCCTTCTTTAAGCATAAAAGATTTTTAAAATAATGTTTTTAACTCTGTTGTTAAAAATTCATGTTTACGTTATATGTATTATTGCAAGCTAGAAAAAAGGAAGAAAAGAGAAGGCTGGTAAGGCAGAAATAAACAGGTAAAATAACCCTACAAATAAACCTGTGCAAATGATCTATTATTTTGCCTGAAACTACTTCTGAGCCTCTTAGTTCCCATGTATTTTATACTGGAATGCAGTTTATTCATGTAACTAACATTTGTTGATTCTGTTCTATGATGTACCAGGAACTGAGCTAAATGCTGGGGTTAAAAACTAACCAGTACAGAGAGGGTTCTTGCTCTCAGATGCTATTAATTATATTTGTGATCATGCAGGATGGTAGTTTACCTTCACCTATGAAAAGGTGCCATATTAGCCAACTAAATTAATTATAAACCAACAACAGTATAACCACACAGGTAGCCCCCTTTTGGAGAAACCTCATCAATAAATCAAAGAGAATCCCAAGTTCCTCAATTATAACCCAAAGTATAGGAATTAGACTGGATAGGTAGAGATTAAAGAAAAGGGGAGTTTGCAAACCAAAGTTAAGCAAACTAAACAGACACAAAACTCTAAGCTCCCCCTCAAGGCCATAGATAAACTCTCAACTGATATATCCTTGAGATATTTTGCAGGAACGTAGGACCCCAACCTGTTGACCATAACCATGCAGACCTTAGATTGGAAGTAACTAGAAGACTGAAGACTAAGATACTGTAGGGAAAATGGAAGTTCCATGGCCAGGATCCTCACCTGATCTTAATCTACTCACCTACTATGCATGTGTAATGATGTAGTACTTAGCCTACTGTGCAGGCACATGCTTGTACACATGTTGGCAATAAGCCATTGCCTGTGTTGTCATGTAAAGAGCTCTGCCCCGTGCTCAGGGCAGAGGCTGGAATGGAGGAAGATGGAGACAGACTTGCTGCATGTAGACTTCTCAGGAAGCAGATGAGATTCTAGCACTTGGCCTGCCACCACAAGAATAAAGCTTGGTATAAACACTTTAATGCCTCCTCCAATGTTCCATTGTCATTTCTCAGTCTCAGCAAATCCAGAATGAACTTGCCCAAAGCTGGGAACTCCATCTGTCCCATAGCTACATTTTGGCCTAGTAAGGAGGACTTGCTGCAGACCAAAAATGGAACAAGCTGCCCTCATGGGAGAGGTACTTCAGTGGGCTGCCCCTATGGATGGGGGGCACCTGGGTATCCCCAAATGAGCATATGGTCTTAGGTGGCAATCTTCCTAGAGGAATTATCCCCTCCCCAGTACTGAGAGGAGGTGGAGGAGACACCTGAGGCAGTGATAGAGGCCCTCTGTGAGATTAGGAAATCCTTAAAGAAACAGGATGTCCATGTGGTGGTGAGTGCCATGGGTTGGCTATTTCTCACAGTATAAAGAAAGGTCATAAAGGAGAAGGATGTACTCCTGAGAGAAGCACAAGAGGCAGCAAGAGAATGCAGGCTGAAAGGTGATGTGGAAAAGGTAAAAGATTTGTTGAAGATTAAGATGGCATTGCTGCAAAGCACTGGGAGAAGGTAAAAGATGTAGTGGTGACTGAGAAGGAAGCACTCTGTGGAGTGATGAGAGATTTGCCATCAGCTCCAGAAGTGGTGGGAGATATACCAGGGGAGAACAAGGAGGTGGAGCAATACATGAGGCACCACCTCTTCCTCTACTGAAATCCC